TATATAGCTTGAGATGTAGCTAAATTTGCTTGATCAGTATGATATACTGTATTAAAACATCATGAAAGTATATGACTGATTTAGTCTTCAGAAGATTCAGACAGTTCGATTGATGCAACTGAAACCGTTTGCTATTGCGAAAATTCAGACGGTTTGCTGATGACGTGCGCGCTGTACTTGTTTTTTTACAGGTGAAGTCCATCTTCGCCCTGGGATTCTACGGCATAATGACAGTGCCACCGACGCTGGCCGTGATGAACGTGTTCTGGTTCCGGAAGATATGTAGGGGGATGGTCAGAACCCTGTCGAAGATGAAGCAGCATACCGCAAACGGGAAGACGGATTAGAAGGAAGGATGATATAACTCTTCTTTTTTAGATCAAAAAAGATTGACTGTTGTTCCTTGTAGATAAAAGCTCGGCCGGTTAAATTTGAGGTAAAACCACGACACTTATTTTGAGACGGAGGAAATATGTTGGTGTCTGATTCTTTTTTTCTAGAGTATGCCCATGCAGAGAATTGTGGGATTGGTCATTGATGTGAGAGGTGATGCACATAGTATTATTCTTTTTACTTTCGTGGCTGCTCGCGGCCACGCGAAACCAACCCGTCGTCGTTGCTGAATCTGTGAAAGGGTATTCCTTTTTCCTTCGCCAACGTGAAAGGCTATTCAGAGGTGGGGTGTCGCACCAAGCACTCTCACATCGCCGGGCCGATTTTGTTCGTGCCGCGCAACGGACGCGTCGGGCTCGTGTCGACCGCGTCGTGGACGCACGCGAAAGCGTTCGTTTGCGCCGCGGACAGCGTTGCCGCCTTTGCTCTCCGTTCTTGGTCGTTTCCCCTCCAGATGGCACGCACTGCTCAGCAGAGCCCAAGGCCAACGGTTCTCACGTCACGCAACGGCCGAAGCAGTGCGGCGCACTCACGCAGAAACAACAACTGGATGCGCCATCATTCGGACGGTCTTTCACGTGCACTGCCATTGTTTTCCTCGTGCTCGGGGTCGAAGAAGACGTACCTGCCTGGTGCAAAATAACAAAAATCTGTTTTAAGTTGCACTTTTTACCAAAATAAAGTTGCACCTTTTAGTCGAGTATGTCTCTGCTATATTTTTCTATACTATACTCCCTCCGTCCGAAAATATTTGTCGGAGCATGTATCTTGACGTATTTTAATTCTAGATATATCCATTTTTATCTCATTCCTCCGATAAGTATTTCTGAATGGAGGGAGTATTTAGAAAATAAGCCAGGCGGAACTTTTTGTCAATCTTTTTTTTCTCCCACCACGTCCCTTCAGTTGGTTTTCTTTCAACCGTTTCATGTTTGGCTGGGACTTCCCGATACATCGTTCAATCACATTAATTTACTTATCTTTGAAACCAATTTCACCTTATCTATACTATCTCTACTATTTAAAAAGAACACAAGGTTTTCACTTCACCTTTCTTCCCATCATCATTTCGTCCAACCTTTCATGTAGTATATGATAATCAATCACCTTAATTTACTTACATTCTTAACCAATTGCATTTTAATTTACTTATCAAACTTCTAATCAAAATATAAGGTAATTCACGGGCAGAATTTGATGAACATTTATTTACACAATCGCATTATTATTGACAGGTAAATCACAAGCTAATGTATTAGAATATTTATATCTCGTTGCAATGCACCGGCATTGTTCTAGTTTTAGAAAAATATAAGTAATTTTCTTTTCCCGCGAACTCTTCATCAACCACTTTCCCCCTCTCACCATGTCCCTCCACAGATTGTTTATTATCCAGTCATTTTTATTCATTTCAATTTGACCGCACCATCCCAGTATGCCGCTCAATCACATTAATTTACTTACCTTTTGCACCAGTTTCATCTTAATTTAATTACCAAACTTCTCATCATACTATAAGGTAAATCACAGACAATTTTTGATAAACATTTATTCAGACAATCACATTAATATTGGCAGGTAAATCACAAGCTAACGTATTAGAATATTTATATCCTGTTGCAACGCATGAGCATTGTTCTAGTAAGGATAAAGAAAATAAGTATTTTTTGCAAATTAATAAAGCATGTCGTGATGGCATTCCCTAAAAAAGACATGGGCTATTTTTCAAAAGAAGAAAAGAAATTAGCACTTAATATGTAATTCTTCATGCTCGATATCTTATTATACGGTTGAAACATTGATATCAAAGTAGCTCACATAATACTAAGTAAACCCATACCTCCAAATTGACGACACAACTGCTTCAGACTGATTGCCTCCATGTTTTTGCTCCTGTCATCAGGACAGTAGACAAAGATGCAAATCACCCATATATGTACTTTTTTTGCGCAAACACCCATATATGTACTTAGTGTTAAAGAAATGGGCATATTGTTGCCTCCAAAGATAATCACTTTGTCATTTGACGACAAATGTAGTTTCTAAAATATGAAGGACGTAAATAAAACCGGGGGAGTGGTCATTCCATCTGAAGGCTTGACAAGTGTATGATTTTCATACTTGTCCATGATTTCAATGACAAGGTTTTGAACTACCCGCGTGAATTGTTCTACATATAATTGTTCTACAAATTTATAACATAGTTTTATAAGATACTTGTGCCATCGCCACCGCTAATCGACCCTCAATTCAGAGAAGAACCATTACTCTTGTATAACACCCACAATGCGGCTATATATCCCACGTGTCGGGGCACGACTTAGAGGCATAGCCGCATGGTAGGTTTGTCGCAAGAGGGGTAATCTTCACACAATCCCATGTACTGAATAAGAAAGGGATAAAGAGTTGTCTTACAATCGCCACTTCACACAAATACAAGTTAACCATACATCATCCAGAATACAATCAAGGCCCCACTACGAAACCAAAATAAAAGAAGACAACCCCAAATGCTAGATCCCGGATCGTCCCAACTAGGCTCCACTACTGATCAACCGGAAAAGACACAAATAACGATCAAGATCTTCATCGAGCTCCCACTTGAGCTGGGTGCATCACCTGCACTAGTATCATCAGCACCTCTAACTGTTTGGAAGTATCTGTGAGTCACGAGGACTCAGCAACACCTGCGAGATCAAGACTATTTAAATTTTAAGCTTATGGGTAGGAAAGGGGTAGTGAGGTGGAGCTGCAGCAAGCACTAGCATATATGGTGGCTAACATACGCAAATGAGAGCGAGAAGAGAAGCAACGCAACGGTCATGAACTAGAAGTGATCAAGAAGTGATCCTGAAACTACTTACGTTCAAACATAACACAAGAACCGTGTTCACTTCCCGGACTCCGCCGAAAAGAGATCATCACGGCTACACACGCGGTTGATGCATTTTAATTAAATTAAGTGTCAAGTTCTCTACAACCGGATATTAACAAATTCTCATCTGCCACATAACCACGGGCACGGCTCTCGAAAGTTTATACCCTGCAGGGGTGTCCCAACTTAGCCCATCACAAGCTCTCACGGTCAACGAAGGATATTCCTTCTCCCGGGAAGACCCGATCAGTCTCGGAATCCCGGTTATAAGACATTTCAATAATGGTAAAACAAGACCAGCAAAACTGCCTGATGTGCCGACAATCCCAATAGGAGTTGCACATATCTCGTTCTCAGGGCAACACCGGATAGGTCAAGCTACGAGTAAAACCAACCCTCAAGTTTCTCCGAGGTGGCCCCGCAGGCTGTTCGGTTCGGACCAACACTTAGAGAAGCACTGGCCCGGGGGGTTAAATAAAGATGACCCTCGGGAGCGCGACTCCCAAGGGAAAAGTAGGTGGTGGTGAGGCAAATGGTAAAACCAAGGTTGGGCCTTCCTGGAGGAGTTTTATTCAAAGCGAACTGTCAAGGGGTTCCCATAACACCCAACCGTGTAAGGGGCGCAAAATCAAGGAACATAACACCGGTATGACGGAAACTAGGGCGGCAAGAGTGGAACAAAACACCAAGCATAAGGTTGAGCCTTCCACCCTTTATCAAGTATATAGATGCATTAATTAAATAAGGTATATTGTGATATCCCAACATAACCATGATCCAACATGGAACAAACTTCAGCTTCACCTGCAACTAGCAACGCTATAAGAGGGGCCGAGCAAGAGCGGTAACATAGCCAACCAATGGTTTGCTAGGAAGGTGGGTTAGAGGCTTGACATGGCAATATAGAAGGCATGATATAACAAGTGGTAGGTAGCGCGACATAGCGATAGAGCGAACAACTAGCAAGCAAAGATAGAAGTGATTTCGAGGGTACGGTCATCTTGCCTGAGATCCCGCAAGAAAGAAGAACGAGTCCATGAAGAAGACAAACGGGCGAAGTCGAACGAATCCTCACAAACGTGACGTTATCGGAACTAACCCGAAGAAGCAGCACCGGAAAGAAGCAAACAACATAGTAAACAACCATCACATAAGCATGGCATGATGCACAACCAAGTATGATGCATGTCCGGTTTAATGAAGCATGGCATGGCAATATGCACAAACAACACTACAAGTTAAGTGGAGCTCAATATGCAACGAGTTGCATATTGACGAAACACCACATGTCTTATTTAGTTCTCTCTCGGTTATGTACCCAACAATATGAAATGTTATTGGACATGGCAACGAGTGAAGCATATGAAAACTACCTATCTAGGAAAATTTAAATGAGGCCGGAAATAACAAACAACAATTCCGGAAAATCCTCATATGCAATTTATGGATTTGGTACTGTTCTGCCCTAAACCATATTTTTATTGTTGTTAAACATGCAAAGTAATTACACCATGTTAAACTAGGCATTTTTCTACCCCATATACATATAAAGTTTATTAAATTCGGAGCTATGGTTATTTAGTTATGAAATAAAGCATTTTAGCATGGCATTTGAACAAATTTAAACAAACAACAATTTAAACACTTCAAACTTGCATGAAAGTTGGATATTATGAAACTAGACAAGATTCTAAGCATTTTTCATATATAATGTTTTTACAAAAGATGCATGGTTGGACTATAAATAGAGAAAAGCGGGAAATTTGGATCACCCGATCAAAATCGGGCGGTCGAGAAAGAATAGACTATGGGAGTCCAAATAAGAAAACGAAGATGTTTTGTTGATGTTTGGGGATGATCCGAATCCAACGGTGACGACTGCCCGGGTCGGGTCCGGGACAGCTTTCGGACGCGCGCGCGAGGAGGGCCGCGGGCTGACGAGAGAGGTTAGGTTGGGCCTGGCGGTAGGTAGTGGACTGTGTAGACGGTCTAGGGAGGAAAGAGAGGGAAAACTCAGCAACAGTTTTCGGAGACCGAAAACGTCCGACGAGAAGACCGGCTATAATGCCGCTATAGTTT